CCAAGATAGGAATCAGCATAGATACCCTGTCAACAGATAAATAAGGAAAATATACACAAARGAATGTTATTCAGCCATAAAGAAGAAAAAGTCCTGTCACTTGTAGGAAAACGGACAGCACTGGAAGRCATCATGTTAAGCAAAATAAACCAGACATAGAAAAAAAAGTCTCAAATATTTTCTCGTACATGTTAGAAATAAGTTAAAATAAAATAAAAAGATGACCTGAAAGTAGAAGAGGGACTATTAGGAACTAAGAAGGGGGCTGAGGAAGCGGGAGGACAAGAGGGCAAAAGAGACGTGGATATGCTCCTCGAATGATCTATGCACATGTGGAAACGTCACAATGAAGTTCATCAATTTGTACAATTAATATGTGTTAATTAAAGCAAAATAAACACCCTGGGGATAGTTAATTCACCAAATTGATAATAGCACTTTATTATGATCATGAATGAACTGGCAGTTTATCAAACTTCTTTATTTATTCAGGTGAGAGGTAGGGARAGAAGAAGTCCACAGGATCCCAGGTGAGTAAGGGAATCAAATGAGGAAGAAAAAGGGCTAAAAGACTATTCTCAAGATATCATCACTCTGTGGCTCTGCTAGATTTGAAGACAATGGCATTGGATGGCAGTTCTTTACTTTTGTTTACTATTTAAAAGTCACTACTCTTAACATAAGGTTTAAGGTTAAGGATCTTTGTTTTCTTTCATGAGGAAGGTAGAGAGGAAAAAAGGAAAASAAAGGTGCAGTGGATCTTATTGAAATTAAAGGGAGATCAGTACAGGAAAGGGACTAATTAAGGGGTGGGAGATGGGAGAGATGGGAGAAGTGCTGAGGAGTGATATTGGCCAAATTATATTGTTATATGGTGTTCATGTATGAATGTGTAACAATAAATCCCATTATTATGTACAACTATAATGCACCAATAAATATAAAAGAAAAAAATAAAGACAGGATTTGAAAAAGAAAAAAAAAGAGTCACTACTCTTTCTGCAAATCTTCTCAAATCCCCCCAAACACTGATTAATAGAAACTTTATAACAAAGAGAATGGAAATTATTTTAAATTTTTTCAAGTTAGAGAAAGAATGAACTCATTTTACTGTCATTCTCATAGAGATTAAATTCATATACTACATAAATGTTTATATAGCAAACTGTTTTTAATACCATATAGTTTGCATCTTTGTGCATTTATATTTCAGATAACAGAGTTCTCAATGATATGCATGGAGACTTTCAAATATGTTCAGCCTTTAACCTTGTGTATATATTAGCAATAGCTGTGCCCCCTTAATCCSTACCTCTCCTTTTTAAAGCTATTTTACCACAAATATCTACAAGTCCCATGATTCACTTTCACTCTCTTTTCAATAAGTAGAAGGAAAGGTTGTTGGTTTGATCTTTGTTAAACTAAATATCTCTGCTAAACTATTATTCTTTGTTTATTTGAATGTTTTCTTTATAGTTTTTAACTAGAGTCATCTGTGAATTCCAGGTCTTTGCTGAAGTTTTCCTCTACTGTTTTCCTACTGTCAAAAATTTAACTGATTTTATTTACTTACTTATTTATTATTTTGTGCTGAGGACTGCACCCAGGGTCTTAAGTATGCTCTACCACTGCATTATACTACCTGCCCCTGTGACCAGTATTTTATGTTGAATCTGTAAAGAACATTAAAGTTCTAAAATATCTAAAAACTTTTTGATTTTGTAATCAAAGTAAACTACTTTCCCTGGACTCACCTAATCGTGTTTAGTGGGAGTAATTTTTAATGGCCACTACGAAGTCCTGTGATATAGTTGAATCCATTAATGTGGAAGCCTGACATACTGATATCCTCTGATAAGACACTAATCTAGAATTGTATTTTATCTGGAAAATTAACTAGTTGTACTCTCTGTAGTATGTCTATAGTTCTCTCCACCTCTACTCTACATTTGCTTGTTTTTTTTTTTTTTTTTATCTAAGCTTACCTAAGGACCTCTTTCCCAAAGAAAGGATTTACATCAGATGTACTGATGTAGCTTTCACTATTGACAAAACTTAAAATGTACTTTATAAAGGAATATATTGAGTGAATACACTTCTTTGACCAATCTGATCTGCCTGATCTACCAAAGGAAGTTCTTACTCCTCTGCTCCTTTTTCTTCAAATTTTATTGCTCTTATGGATCCTCTAACATTTAAAAATAATCATCTTATATATAATTAGAGATATGATAAATTATTGTATAATGATGTATTAAGAATTGTAATACAAATATAAATAAATAAATAAATATCATCTTAACTCCTCAACTTCTTTCCTAGTTTTTGTATGTTTCTTAACTCCTCTTTTTTCTTATATTATTTTTAAAATATTCTGTTCTTCATATTCTGGTTATTCCTAAAATTTTCCCTTAATTTTTGTTCTTGACCATCTTATTTTCTTGGACATTTCATTTTGTTGTTGTTTTGGTCAACTCTTCTTACTCCACTTATACCTTTTATTTCTTCCATCTAATATTTTATCATCTTTTCCTTTCTCGTTTTTTAAAATCTCCTTTCCTTTTAAGAACTTGTGTTAACTCTAGTTTTATCTGCATTCTTAAATGTTCTTAAAACATAATTTTTTTTTCACCAAAAGTATTTACAGTAACAGCTCTGGGTCTGCCTCACCAAGAACACCAAGTTCAGGAAGAAAGAGGTGCCAGGGGTTCTATATCCATCTTTCCCTCGAGCACAGTTAACAGGGAGTCTATCATTTCCCACAAAAGCTTACAAGGTATATTATCTGCATGTCAGCCAGAAAAAAATTAAGTCCTCATGGCACATCATCAATGAACAGCATTTAGTGAACGTGGAAGAAATATTCAGCTGAGGAACTGGATCATTTACTAGATAGATTTATATGCAAATAAGACAAAATCCAACTCGACCTAGTTAAAATAAGAAAGGCTAACGATGTAACTGGAAATTCTGTTAGTGATGTAACCAAGAACTTACACTCTCAGTCTCTGTATTGCTTTTTCTGGTACTAGTTTTAGTCTAGGCATGGCTCCTTCATGCACTAACAGACCCCAGAACTACATGCCTATTGTGCTTGTGCAATAGAAATATGCCTTCTCAGCAGAAGTCCTGAGCTTTAATTGGACTCATCTAGATCACACACCTTTTTCTGAATCAACCGTTGTGGAAAGGGAGGTAAGATGTAGTTATTTGCTGATCCTAGTCCACTGGTTCCAACTCTGGAACCTTGGTAAATAGCTCTTGGGAGTTACAAGGTCTCAGAGAAGGAGCAAGGAGAAAATTAGCTCTTTGCTGAGAAGGCAACAAGCAAATTTCCACTACACAAAGGAAAGTTGAATACAGATAGTGCAAAGTAAATAGTGGTAACTTCAAAAATCTATTTTCTTTTGTAATGGAATTATTTTAATAATTATAAGGTTACAAAAATGAATACATGTATTTTGTTTCATGAAAATGAACTGTTCCACATTTTTATAATCAATTCCAGTAATTCTTCCTGAGATTATCAATCCCAATGGAGTTGCCTATTATTATTATAGGTGTTAAATAATTTAAATGTTATTACTCTTAAATAATAAGAAGAAAAAATAGCAGAATAATAACAAACAATAATAAATGGCTATTTGATTAAAACAATAATATTCTTTTGGGAAAAGATTAAAGACCAATTGGTAAATATTTTAAAATAAGTAATATAAGCTAAGGTTAAACAAATAAAGGGGGAAAATGACTTTTAAGAGTGAGAAGAGACAAGAAGAGGCACCCTTTACAAAGGAGGGGCTGTTGTTTCTCTCTCCTCATTTTAATGTCATCACATTCTTCTTGGGCTAAATATCAAATAAGGAGTTTATGAAATTAAAGGCCAAACACGAATAACTGAATGCACAGAAAAGTCRTCTGAATGGTCATTTGGGAATGGGGAGAGGGTGGAAGTCATTGTGACAATGGTAGTTACTAATAGACATTAGATCATATGCAAGTTTTCAAGTAAATGAAAGTCAATCCTTAGCCACTAGGCGTGGGGGCCCACACATCTTTTCTAGAGCTTCTGAATGCTAATTTTAAAAGAAATTCTTCCCAATAAGTAGAATACTTTTATTTTCCCAATACTAGAAGAAAAAAGAAAAGAAACATAGAATGTTATCTGCAACAATGAGTCATCAGCCACTGCAGCTCTTCAACATCCAGGTCTCTGCAGCCCTTCAAAAGCAGAGGACTGTCTTTTAATGACACACACAAATCCCTGCACTGCCTGCCTGCAAAACATAATTAATTCTGGCCTTTTTTTTGCTTAATGAAACACCTTGCACACATGACAGCAATGGGCTAGAGTTGCTTGTGTATACCTGAAATAGKGATAGCCCCAACAACAACTTAGTTCCACTCAAAATGCTCTATAAAACTCATTTGTCTGAGCTTTACCATTATTTCTTCAAAATATATCTTATAACAGACACGTCAGCCTAAAGGAAACACAATCAGCCACCTGTATGAACAGTTTTCCTAACTTCTAAAAGTGTGGAATGTTTTGCTTTTAAACAAATGTGTGGCACTTAACAAGGTTTTATTTCTCAACTTGTGGCTTCCATAGAAGAATATTTAAACAAAATAGTCTCTTAGATGCAGCTGCTCAATATCATTTATATTGGAATAATTTTTCCTATTTTAATGCAGACTTGCATGCTGCATTACAAAGGACATTTGTCTTTGGAGAGTCCCAGCATGCAAATTTACAAGGTTCCATTTCAAACAACAAATAGCAATATGAGTAAAATTYGAAAAAYAAAATTTAACTGAAAGATTTACATTGAAAAATTTACCCCTCTTTGTAATATTCAGTTATTCTGGTCCTATCTGAAGAGATCTGAAGCAAATGCCTACTTTTGCAGAAATTGCTGCCACTGGAAGTATAGTTTCCTTACTTTAATTATAGATTGTACGTAGAACAAGTGAATAATTAAATAAGGAATGCCTCTCACCTGTTTAGGTGTGACCCCAGGCATGCGAATATCCAACGCAAAATCTGATGAATCAATAGGAATTACTGGTCTGGTGGTACCAAGACACTCATTGGCAAATGGTCTGGTAGTTTCTTTAAACCTTGAAAAAGAAGACATTTTCAACATTCTTTAACATAATGGGTAGAGGAAAAAAGGACTTCTATGACCTTAAGGTTAAATAATGTTGTAACAGGCCCAATGGAAGACTCTCTAAAGATGTGATGATCATACAATGTTATCAGAGACACTCAGAATTACATTTTCTAGTCCATGACCAAGATACAACCAACTTATAAACAAAATATAATCAAAGAAACCAAGCAGCTACATTCAAAACTTGATTTAATAAAAACTTGTCAACACATACATTTGTTTCTAGTTCATGAAGACACAGTATTAATACATTAGAAATTATAATTATAATACACATACCAATCTTCTAATGGCAAATATTAACCATAACCCAATACAAATTTTTGTAACTATGTTGTGAGTGTCCGGTGTTACAGGTCAAAAACAAAAAAAAACTGATCATAATCTTGCTGGAAGGCAGAGTTATATGAGGAGGAAATAAAAGGTTGTGATGTGAATTACAAATGTACAAGTACATAAATATTTAATATGGTAATTATGGGGCGTGTGTATACAGCTCAATGTTTCTTAGTGAGCGATTAGAGTCCATGATCTGCTTCTCCTAACCACTGATGTTGATATTTTATTCTTCGAGCTGTTATAAACAGGAAGGCATTCAAGTCTAAATGACTATATCTACTTTCTGAAATATCTCCCCAAGAGGGAGTGATTAGTATTGGAAATCACAACTTCTAATTGGAGTTCTAGAAGCCAGAGCAGCAGCTCAGCTACAAGACTGTGGGTTTTTTCTGCAAGGGAGACTTTACAAGAAGTTGCTGGRCTAAAATTCCAAATCGTTTCTATAGAGAAAAAAATCAACCTTGTGTATTTCGCCAACACTTGTTCGTAAAAGTGATTACATTTCTAAACAGCATGCACAAAACCCACCCAAACAGTATTTCGCCTGTTAAAAAATAAAATAAAATWAAAATAAACACAAACACACCCACCTCTTAAAGACAGAAAGTGGGCTTCTGAAACCCAAGCAGCTGCCTTGCAAAGTCAGGAGGAGAACTAGCAGGCTGCGCGCGCGGCCAGCCATGTCCGCGCCGCTCCGGCCCCGCCGGGAGAGGACCGGGCAGCGCAGCGCGGGGCTGGGGCCGGCGGTCGGGCAGCGGCGCCACAGGCAGCCGCTACTTCATGGCCCGGGCGCGGCGGGCGTCCTGCGGCGGCCACACGTCGGCTGCCTGCGAAAGCCGCGAGCTGGACCCGGCGAGGTGTCTCGGTCACGAGCCGCGGGCAGAAACCCGTGGGAAGGCGGTACTTCTGTCCTGGCGGCCAGCGGAAGCCTGCCTCCCTCCAGAGCTGCTGCTTCGCCCTGGTGCTGGGGCTAGACGTGCGAGTTCCTTATCACTCGGGAATGACAGGGACTGTAAGGACTATCACCCAAACCCGCGTCAGTCATCATTCAGAACCTGCAAAAATAGAAGCAGATAATGGATGACTAACACATTACAGCATTTGTCCTCAGCAAATCCCAGCTGAGGTTCTTTAATACATTAGTAGTTTCACAAGCTTGAGCCCAAGCCTGGGGAAAACGCTGGTCTGTTCATCTTCCTCCCTCGACTACTGGCCCCCCAAGATTTCACAATCCCCCCCCCCCCAGAGCATAGCCCCTCTTTTGCCTTTTGCTTGTCTTCCTTCCCCAGGCCCACTCCCAGTTTTTTGTTTATTTTTTTCATTTCTCCCCTTTTCACCCTCACTCACATCCATCCCACATTCTGTGTATCTTCTTATTCAGTCTACTATTCCCCCCAAACGCACTTCAAAACCGCTGCTCAATGTAAACAAAGTTATTTGCATAAATGATCTACTACAACACAAGGGGGAAAAGAGGCAAGGACAAAGGACTTGTATACAACAACAATCAGAAAAACACCGAGAACAAAGGCATGTTCATATACAGGCATCCTAGAGCTACAGATAGAGAATTAAAATCCTCCCTTCCAAGAACTCCCAAGAATAGCCAGAGAAGTAATTGCCCAAGTTCTGGGAATTATTTTAAAACAAACCAACACTTGGCAGCTAACATGATATTTAAATACTCATTTAAAAATCTAGCATCTAATATACAAAGTAATAATTTCTCACATAGAAGACTTGCCTCCCTAAAGATAKTTTTTCCTAAGTTTGGAGATTTACAAAACATAATGAGAAAAAGCAGAATCTTGGCTAGCTCTAAATGAATTTTCTACAAAGGTTAAGCATAATCAAGAACTTCCAATTAATATAAG